TGAAAGCCTGACGGGTCCATCAGGTGCTGGGGGCGGACCAATTGCATGGATCCTGCCTCCCTGTGGAGGGGGGTGGTATAGGAGAAACTCAGGGTCACCAGGACGTGAGGGGGTGGCATAAGAGAAACTCAGGGTCACCAGGATGTTGATGCACTATCTAGCATGTAGTGTAATGCTGTGTCTTAATTGGAACAGTGAGATAAATTGAGTGGAGCATATCATAGGATCTTTAAATACTCGAAGGGTTATCATAAAGAAGAAGGTTTCATTTGTCTCAGTTTTCAGGATTAGAAAAATGGTCTTAAATTACAGGAATCGTAGAGTAGTCAGAGTTAGAACTAAAGGTCATCTGGTCCAATTCCTTGCCCAGTACAGGATCTGCTAAAGCAGTGGTGTCAAACTCAGATAAAAACGGGCCACTAAACCGTACATAAAGATCCCTGTGGGCCGCATATTGACTTTGGAAACCACACATTTTTATATATTTCTTCTTTTATTAATGCATCAGCACGAAAACCAGATAGAACTAAAACATAAAAAAGAAACGTTATTGCAAATTTAATTATTTGTTTTCAGTATTTGTGTGTTTACAGTGGGGCAAAAAAGTATTTAGTCAGCCACCAATTGTGCAAGTTCTCCCACTTAAAAAGATGAGAGGCCTGTAATTTTCATCATAGGTATACCTCAACTATGAGAGACAAAATGGGGGAAAAAATCCAGAAAATCACATTGTCTGATTTTTAAAGAATTTAACAATTGATGGCTGACTAAATACTTTTTTGCCCCACTGTAAACACACAAATACTGAAAACAAATAATTAAATTTGCAATAATTAAAAAGATGAGAGGCCTGTAATTTTCATCATAGGTATACCTCAACTATGAGAGACAAAATGGGGGAAAAAATCCAGAAAATCACATTGTCTGATTTTTAAAGAATTTAACAATTGATGGCTGACTAAATACTTTTTTGCCCCACTGTATATATTTGTGTATATACAGTGTACATGTATATATCACCTACACACATACACACATGCGTGCACACACACACATATATATATCCCCCACCCCTGAGCTTCCACCTGTCCTACCACCAAATTATCACACAAATCACTTCCACACCTCCTACTCCTGCTTATTACTTCCCTGCAATGTTCCCTCTAATTTCTGATATCACACGTGTGGGTAAAAAAAATGTTTTGTGTGGCTTTTCCCAAACCAAGTACAAATTTGTGTACCACAGTACAAAAATATGAGTAGATTGCAAATACATGTAATAGTGACATGTTAAAATATTTACGTATTTCTTAATTAAAGTATAGAAACTAGAAAATATAACCATATGTTACATACTTTAAAATTGTGCATTCAGCTTATTTTGGACTCCTGGCAATTGCCCCCTGCACTTTACTTGGCAGTTCTTTCTTCCTAGAGGTGAGAAAAGTGATTGCCCCAAGATCACCAAGGTGGCTTCATGGCCATGGCAGGACTAGAACTCACTATCTCTTGGTTTCTAATCTGGTACCTTAACCACTGCACCAGACATATGTGCTTGCAGAATGTAAACCTACTAGTCAGTGGTAACTGCAGTCAATATTTTGTAAGCATTCAACCTCCCTCCTTCCCTCCCTTCCAGAATTTGATACAATAATGAAAGAAGAAAAAAAAAGAGTCATGAGCCTGGAGTTTTGATGATTGATGACTAAATTTATTATCATTTGGTTTTAAAACGTAATAGTATCTATGTTTTGTTGTATTTTTATTTTATTTTCTTAAATATTATCCAGTTGCATTTTACAGGTAGTCCTCACAGCCTGCTTGTTCAGCAGCTGTTTGAAGTTACGGTGTTGAAAAAGATTTCCTCAAAGTTGCGGCTACTGCAGTATCCCCATGGTCACGTGTTTGTGATTTGGATGCTTGGCATCCGGCATGCATTTACGACAGTTATAGCGTCCCATGGTTATGTGATTGTCATTTGCAATCTTTGGAGCCAGGTTCCAACAAGCAAAATCAATGGGGAAGCTGGCAGGAAGTCACAAGTCATGGTCACACGATATCAAGCTTAACTGCAGGTGATTCACTTAATGACTACAGCTGGAACTAATGCCATAAATCAGGCGTGGTCACGTGATGTTTCACTTTACAACCACGTTGCTTAGTGATGGAGTTGCTGTTCCCATTTGCGGTCAGTAAGTGAGGACTACCTGTAATCTAGCTCAAGCTACACTTGGGAGTGTTGTGGGCTGCATGTTTGACACCTTTGTGCTAAAGCATTTCACATCAATAGCACTCCAGCCTCTGAATATCTACAGTGAAAGAGAACAAATTACTTCACGGGGCAGTTATTCCACTCATTGACAATTTTTACCATCAAAAAGTTCCTCCTAATATCTTCCCTGAATTTTCTTTCCTGTAGTTTGAATGTTTGGTTTTGTCAGGCTGGCAGAACTAGAGAATAAATCCACTACTTTCTCTGTGTGACAACTGTTTGGATATCTGAAAACTGCTATTGTATCTCACCTTAGTTTTCTCTTCTGCAGGTTATACGTATCTAGTTCCTTATATGATCTGGTTTTCAATCCCCTCACCGTCTTTGTAGCCCTCCTCTGAACTCACTCCAGTTTGTGGATGTCTTTAGACTGCAGTGTCCAGAACTGGACACAATGCTGCAAGTGGAGCCAGACCAAGGCAGATAACAGATCCCAAAATAGAAGGGGTGATTCCAGATTGAATGATCTTTAGCATTAGGAGATTCCTCATATAAGAGGAATCCAGTGAAATCATTTACCTAGGCATGAAGTGAACTCTTTTTCAGCAGATGCCTATAAGCAGCATTTGTTGGAGATGCTTTTATTTATATTTCTGTGCTCAATCTGTTTTTTCCAAATCTATTGTTCTATGATCATTATGAATATTATATAAACTTGCAGAACATATAAATATGCTCTGTTTTATTCTTAAGCCCACGTGAGCTCACTTTCAGATTCCCCAGAACTGTGCATCAGGCAAAATGGTAATACCCGACGAAGAGTCAGGAAGAATTCAAAAGAGCTCAGAAATGTACATGCTACGTTGTGATAGTGAGCTGTCTTTATTGAAGGAAGGACTTTTTAACATTATGGATAATGTGTGTAATAAAATGCTTGTAATTAAAATTAGGATGCTGCGATGCTAATTTTCTAGTTTGGGGAGGAACATTAATTTCAGGCAAGTGTGACTGCTTAGTAAAACTACTCACTGCCTTACCTCATGCTGCTTTTGCAGATACAGCCATTTGCTATACAAAGGGGGCAACATATGGGCACAGAACTTTGGTTTGAGAATAGTTCTTTCATGCCCATATTTTGGCTAAGCAGGGCCATTTTGGCTGCTTTTTAAAGTCACATGAACAGTAGTTGCCTCATTGCAGATAAATGTATTCATAATCATTTCTGAAGATTTTAGTTTCTTAATAAAAATGATTTTTATATAGAGAATGGGTTGGAGCAGTTGTCTTTATTCTATCCTCATTTTAATGGTCAAATTCTTGCAACCTTGGAAGCAAAGTGGGAAGGAATGGATTGGAATTTTCATTGTGTATAATCCTAGCTCTGCACAGTGTTGTGCTACCACTGGTTCTGTGTATGTTTGTCCTCCACAGATTTCTTTTATGCCAAAATAGTATGATTTATTACATAGAACCCCATCATGGCATACAAGGCAATAATGCATGAAGGCCATAGCGTTTGTTGTACTTGACTCAACAATATACATGATTGTGCATGAAAAATGTTACATTTGGGGAAATATACATTGTCTTGTACGTAGCAAGACAATGGAATTTCTTTTACTATTTTATATCTGAGAACATATATCAGAATAGAATAATATGTGAAGAAAGGTCTATCAAAAATTGAAAAAACGAGATATTTTCCTCCTGAGACTTATTTTTGTTTTGGTCTATTTCATAATTTAACACAGAAAATAATTGAGATGTAATAGAAATTGGTCTACTTTTGGATACTCATACCAAATAAATGAATAAGCTGACCTGACAGTATAAAGAAACATGTAAATCTTCAGTTTTCAGAAGGATGTGCATCACTTGTTCTGTCAGTATGTGGATGAGAAGATGCCAGGCTCTGGGGACCTCCTTGTTCATAAACTGTAGCTTTACAGTTTACAGAAAATAATTTATTCACTCTGGGTGAGCAAGTAAGTGCTGAATCTGCTGAGGTAGCATGTTGTGTGTGATGGATTTTGTTTAATGGGGATTTACTATTTACTAGGTCATGTTTAGAATCAAAATGCACATTTTATAGGACAGTGCAGTGTTTAAGATCTGATTTTTGGATGAGATTTCCTTGGTTGCCTGGGTGGATCATGTATGATTTGGACAGGAAGTTCTCCTGGCCCTCTCAGTGGCTTTTAATACTCACTAAACATATTTCTTTCTTGACTGTCTGTCAAGGATTGGTGGGAGGGCACTGTTTTTTGTTTTACTGCTTTCTGAAGGATGAGTCTCAGAGTATGATATTGAAGGATAACCACTGAGTTCCTCTGCTAATGATATATGGGATTTCCCAGAATTGTACATTACTTTTCTCTCTTTAAATTTCAAACTTTGAATGAAATTATCTGGAGAATTTGCTGGGAGTGTAGGATTAGAGCCATTGCTATGTTGATGGCTCCCAGCAATGTATTTTGTTTTTGAGCAATGAAGGTTCTAAACTAGCTACTCAGAAGAGTGAAAGACCAGATGTTGGTGACCAAATTGAGACTGGATTGACACAAGAAAGAAGTACTGTTTTAGCTAGAAGGCAGATCTAGGATTAAACACACAGCTTTTCTAAGACAAGTCAGTGTTGCCCTTTAAAAACTAGTTACCGTACAGTAGTAGCTTTCTGGATTCCCAGATGGCAGCAGTGATCAGGAAAGCTTTAGGCTTGGCCCCCAACTGCGGCTGTGTGTATAAATAATTGTTAATATTCTTACAGACTCTCCTTTTCTATTTTCAGTCAATGTTGTCGAAGCGCTTCAGGAATTCTGGCAGATGAAGCAATCACGTGGTGCTGATCTGAAAAATGGTGCCCTGGTGGTTTATGAAATGGTCCCATCCAATAGTCCTCCTTACATTTGCTATGTCACGTTACCAGGGGGGAGCTGTTTCGGCAGTTTTCAGGTTAGACTGTCTTGGCTAGAAGTTGCAGTTATTGATTGTCTTATTTATGGAATCGTAATCAGGTGGAATTGATGAAAAGATCCTTAGTTTTGGACAGCCATTCTTTTAATGAAAAGACTAGCTGTCAGACATAGTCACGCACTGTACTGTAAATGTGAAAAATTCAAGTGTGTGGCACCATTAACATCATCATGTCAGCAATAAGCTTCAGTAAACCTCCCCGGCTATTCCAGGTCAGAGGCTTAACACTTAGAGCCGAGAGCAGCAGGTATTTTTGGCTGAATTAAAGTTCAGTTTGTGGGATTTGAAGCAGGCATCCAAAATAGACTAGTATCTGAACACCTGCCCACTTAGAAAGAGCATTGGGATTTAGACTCAAGTAGTTAGACTTTGGTTTTAAACAAATTAATTGTATTGGCAAACACAGCTGTGGCATTTCTTTCTGCAAATGACATGTGCTGACTTTAACATCCTGAGCGGTCTTTCTTTCCAGGGGACTGAGCTTTGAAACCTTTCTGAGAGTTGCAGCATATCAAAGAACAGCAGTTCCATAGTGCCAGTTGCAACGTAATTAAATTTTAGGGTGGGGACCACTTGAAATGATGAGATTTGTCAACGTATCCGTATCGTTTCTGTTCTTAAATCTGCCTTGTATTCTTCTCTAACCCCACTTCAGTTTTGCCCAACAAAAGCTGAGGCCAGGAGAAGCGCTGCAAAAATTGCACTGATGAATTCAGTCTTCAATGAGCATCCGTCCCGGAGGATCACAGATGAATTTATTGAGAAAAGTGTCTTGGAGGCTTTGGCATCTTTCAATGTAAGTGCTTTTGAAAGTCCTGTGGCTGTAATCGGTGGGGGAATAATTGTTGGAAAAATTCATGAGTCTGTAGGAATCCATCTGGAATCCTTTATTGGTAAGGCCTCTAAACAGCTCTGGGTGTGTAATGAAAATAAGTAGCTTAACCATTGCTGTGCACTTCTCTCAGTTACAAGTCTGTGTATTTACCCTCGGTGCTTTCAATATCTTTTGTTTGGAAGTCTGACAACATTCTTTGTGTATTGGCAAGATTTTTAGAAGTGGTTTTCCCTGGCTTCCTCCCTCCTAGGGCTGAGAGAGGGACTGGACCAAAGTCCTCCAGCTGGCTTCATGCCTAAGGTGTGACTAGAGCTCACAGTCTCCCAGTTTCTAGCCTGGTCCCTTAACCACTCCACCAAACTGGCTCTCTACAACTTGTTTTACTTATCTAAACTTGACTGTGCCTTGGGTTAAGCTATAATATGGTTCTTTTATTTCTAGCATATTGTAGTGTGTTGTGTGGACTCAGCCATTGTGACTTATTTACTAAACTGTAGCTTAGTGCAGTTTTTGAACTTGGTAATTATGTGAAAAATAGAGATCATGACACCACTATACACTCTACTTAAACAAGTGCTTAGAAGAAAGCATTGGGTGGGTTCTAACTGCATTGTTTGATGCTTTCCCAAAAGAACCCCCATTGCTTGGCAGTAATCAGGCATAAATTATTTTTTTCTTATACAGTATAAAGAATCCGATAAATAGATTTACAAATATGTGATTGTTGTCATTATGGATAATCAAGTTTATGGTACAAAGAGTTTGCTTAGGATATCAAGCAGATGTTTCTCAAAGACTTAGTTATTAACGATGGCTGGTGTGGGTCTTCCGGGCTGTGTGGCCGTGGTCTTGAAGTTTTGTTTCCTA